CGTTGTAGCTGTGTTCTGGCCATAAATCTGACATGTTCTTTGTGTTGGAGACTTGTGGGCTCCTTTTCTCTCACTGGGCAGTAATACCTGGCTCGCCAAACATGAAATGAATACATTATTTCTTGAGCAATCAAAATTGCTGAGAATGAAAATGTTTTATGTAAATATTAGACACAACAATGTTCCCCGCAGACACACAAAAAACTGGAGGCAGAGTCGTGTATAACATTACACAGGAAACCATTTACTTCTTAGCTGTTATTGCACTATGATTGTCTCCATTCAAAACATTCCTTCTGCAACATTCCAAAGGTTCAAGAAACTAAAGTACAGATGTGAGCCAGCCTTAGCTTATCAGATACAAACAGGCAATGTTTTTATCATGCAGAGCAGCTTCTCTAACTACAACTCCCAGCAGACACAACTCGGTAGCATAAAGTCCCAGCTGTGTATTATTAATATCTCTGTCATATTTTCCTGGGATTATCTCCATCACAGAAAATGTAATGATATATTTTATATAAGATGTATTCAGGGCTGTTATGAGGAAGCTTTTCTCCTCTATAGTGGGTAGTTCATGGGGTAAAAGGCCATACAGCAGAGAGGAAGAGCCATCCCTAAGGGCAGCTATGCCAGAGCAAAGTATGAATTATTTTCTAGATGGTTCTCCACAAGCATCTATAAGAGGGGTCCCATTAACTGTCGGGCTACACTGCCCTCATGGTGTATCCTACTCTAGATGCTGCCTCTCCTACTCTGGAACAGGAGCTCAGGATGCCATGGACTCCTCTAATTCTACCTGTGCCTCTCCCAGAGGACAGCACATTAAGATACCTGGACATAAGGTAATGTGAATACTTCAGTAAGGGAAGTAAGCTGACAAGGCTACAGAGTGGTCAGGATTCCAGAGATGATTAGGACCAGCACACCAGAGTTTATCCTTTTTGTGGTTTGTGAGAAGTCTGAGCTCCAGCTGGAGAGGTGCATGATCTGATATACCCCAGGGTAGGAGATCAATTGAGGTAACCATAGTGAGCAGTGGCAGTGTAGCATGAACTAAGGTCAATCCTAAAAAAAAGTTTTAAGAGGGGCAAACATAAAGTATTGTCGTAGGGTGCTTCCATCTCCAGAGATCAGTAGGGGAATAAGTCTCACCCCATGTCAGAAGACTTGAGGTGACTCAAGGATTAAGTCTATCCATAGTTGGGGAAGGAGCCAGGTTAAAGTACCCCTTTAGCAGTACCCTGTCCGCCTGTACAGGTGAAACTCAAAAAATTAGAATATCGTGCAAAAGTTCATTTATTTCAGTAATGCAACTTAAAAGGTGAAACTAATATATGAGATAGACTCATTACATGCAAAGCAAGATAGTTCAAGCCGTGATTTGTCATAATTGTGATGATTATGGCTTACAGCTCATGAAATCCCAGAATCCACAATCTCAGAAAATTAGAATATTGTGAAAAGGTGCAATATTCTAGGCTCAAAGTGCCCCACTCTAATCAGCTAATTAAGCCATAACACCTGCAAAGGGTTCCTGAGCCTTTAAATGGTCTCTCAGTCTGGTTCACTAGGAATCACAATCATGGGAAAGACTGCTGACCTGACAGTTGTGCAGAAAACCATCATTGACACCCTCCATAAGGAGGGAAAACCTCAAAAGGTAATTGCAAAAGAAGTTGGATGTTCCCAAAGTGCTGTATCAAAGCACATTAATAGAAAGTTATGTGGAAGGGAAAAGTGTGGAAGAAAAAGGTGCACAAGTAGCAGGGATGACCGCAGCCTGGAGAGGATTGTCAGGAAAAGGCCATTCAAAAGTGTTGGGGACTTTCACAAGGAGTGGACTGAGGCTGGAGTCAGTTCATCAAGAGCCACCACACACAGACGGATCCTGGACAAGGGCTTCAAATGTCGTATTCCTCTTGTCAAGCCGCTCCTGAACAACAAACAACGTCAGAAGCGTCTTACCTGGGCTAAAGAAAAACAGACCTGGTCTGTTGCTCAGTCGTCCAAAGTCCTCTTTTCTGATGAGAGCAACTTTTGCATGTCATTTGGAAACCAAGGACCCAGAGTATGGAGGAAGAATGGAGAGGCACACACTGCAAGATGCTTGAAGTCCAGTGTGAAGTTTCCACAGTCTGTGTTGATTTGGGGAGTCATGTCATCTGCTTGTGTTGGTCCACTGTGCTTCATTAGGTCCAGGGTCAATGCAGCCGTCTACCAGGAGATTTTGGAGCACTTCATGCTTCCTTTCGCAGACGAGCTTTATGGGGATGCTGACTTCATTTTCCAGCAGGACTTGGCACCTGCCCACACTGCCAAAAGCACCAAAACCTGGTTCAATGACCGTGGGATTACTGTGCTTGATTGGCCATCAAACTCGCCTGACCTGAACCCCATAGAGAATCTTTGGGGCATTGCCAAGAGAAAGATGAGAGACATGAGACTGAACAATGCAGAAGAGCTGAAGGCCGCTATTGAATCATCCTGGTCTTCCATAACACCTCAGCAGTGCCACAGGCTGATAGCTTCCATGCCACACCGCATTGAGGCAGTAATTGCTGCAAAAGGGGCCCAAACCAAGTACTGAGTACATATGCATGCTTATACTTTTCAGAGGTCCAATAATGTTCTATGTACAATCCTTGTTTTATTGATTGCATGTAATATTCTAATTTTCTAAGATTGTGGATTTGGAGTTTTCATGAGCTGTAAGCCATAATCATCACAATTATGACAAATCACGGCTTGAACTATCTTGCTTTGCATGTAATGAGTCTGTCTCATATATTAGTTTCACCTTTTAAGTTGCATTACTGAAATAAATGAACTGTTGCACGATATTCTAATTTTTCGAGTTTCACCTGTATATCGGTAGGTGGTGGCAGATATAAACCAACAAGTACAATCTCTATTTGAAAAACATTAGCATGTAGAGTAAGATAACCTCCTTTCTGGATCTGAAGTGAGTTGTTGAGGTGGAAGGGAAGCGATTTATCTATGAGAATGCTCACTACCCAGCCATGAGTAAATCAAGCAGTGTAATAATGGTGAGAGAGCAAGGGTTTCTTGGAACTAAAATTTGACTGGGATTCCATTTAGGTAGCAGATCTGGAGGAAATTGTAGGGATTTCAGGGACTTTCAGAATTTTTTCAGATTTTCCATGCAACATTTCAAATGAAATTCTATTAGTATATGTCCAACTTAAAAGTGTTCATCTGTTTCTAAAGGTTGGTAGGTATGCAAAAGTAAGAATCTGTTGACAAGTGTAAAGCAGGTCAACCACATCCCAGTGTGCAGTATTGTATTTGTAAAGGGGTTCAAAGAGATTGACATGTATCAGTAACACACATCTAAATGCAGCTTGAGTTGCATTGTAGATTTACAGCAGACCAATAAAGGGATACAACATTCAGACTTGGTAGTACTATTCATATATTCTTATTGCCACTAGTGTCAAAGGTATAAAAAGTCCTTCAGCTGAGAATATTACTGCCCCACTAGGCAGGCAATTAGTCTGTATTAAACCAGTGGAATGTTCATCCAAAAGTCCATGTGCAATATTAGATTTCCTTATGCTCTCACCAGATTCATCAAGAAATACAGTGTTGTATACAAACAAATCTTCCTTTCCCCCTCTTTTCTTCTGCCCACTCCACTGCACATACCCCCCAAAAAATAAAAAAAAAAGAAATATAGTGTAGTATGTTCTAACTAGTTATGTTGCTATAATACATTAATGTGCTCACGTTTCAAATGACATAGTGTGCTCCAAAAAGTATTATTAACCCCTTGGCGCCGGCACCTCCCGGCCCTTTAAGGGTTTCAGAAGCCGGGAGGCGGGGCGGGGTTTTAGGGTCATGTGACCGCCGTGATTCGCCGTCACATGATTGGGAAAGGTCCCGATCGAAAGAGGAGATCGGGACCTTTCCGTGAGTACCGGACATGTGTGCTGGGAGCGCGCAGGGCGCACGCTCTCAGCACATGTTTTTTTTTCATTGCGCACAAATGTGCGACCGCTCGGTGTCTAGGCCCAGACGCCAGGAGGCCGCACATTTGTGTACAACTGGCGTGAAGAGGTTAATCACCGTAAGATCATCACCAATCTCCGTTCTCAGTATTTACTGTTACCCTCCAAAAATAATTCCATGTGTTTAGTCTATATGTGTATCTTCTCCACAAATCCTCCTCAGAATCTTCTCAGTGTGTCATGTGCACCATCCACCTCAAATGTTCAAAACACCACTAGTACTCCTCACACTTTATTAATTCACATCTGCTCACATGGATTCCAGATACAAAACACCTTCTCTAAAATGGCCACCACGGTACTTCTGACATCATCAAATTGACTTCCTCATAGGCCTATGAGGAAGTCAATTTGATGACAAAACATGTCTGGAGGAAGTGACATAAGACCAAACCGGACTACCATGGCGGCCATTTTGGAGAAGGTGTTTTGTATCTGGAATCCATGTAAGCAGATTTTAATTAATAAAGTGTGATTTTATTAATACTGCTACAAATGCCAGGAGGATGTGACACAGAATACAGAGGAGAGGTGACACTGGAGATCTAATGGGGAGTTTTTAAAGAGGCGTATATTCAATTTACATTTGCATGACCCGGAGGGGAAGTGAGAAGCACTACTGGTTTGAACATTTGAGGTAAATGGTGCACTTGATACACTGAGAAGATTCTGAGGAGGTTTTGTGGAGAAGATACTCATATAAACTCATGGAATTATTGTTGGAGGGTAAACGTAAATACTGAGAATGGTGGTTGGTGATGATCGCATGGAAAGTATAACAATTTTTGGAGCACATTATGTCATTTGAAAAGTGAGTATATAAATGTATTATATCAACATAACTAGTTATAACTTACTACACTATATTTTTGTATTTTTAATTTTTTTTGTGAGCATGTGCAGTGGAATAGACGGAAGAGAAGAGAAGCTAAGGAGGATTTATTTGTATCAGGGGCGGACTGACAACTCATGGGGCCCCCGGGCAATAGGGGATCATGGGGCCCCTGTGTCCTTGCCCAAACTCAAAAAAGCCTATGAAAAAGGTACCAGGGGCATCTCATGAGGCCCCCTACTGACCCCGGGCCCTCGGGCAGTGCCCGAGTTTCCAAATGGTCAGTCTGCCCCTGATTTGTATACAATGCGCTGTATTACTGAATGAATCTGGTGAGAGCATATGGAGATCTATTATTGCACATGAACTTTTGGATGAACATTGTGCTGGTTTAATGTAGACTAGTACTATTCATATGTATCATACTGTACTCATATAGAGTAGTCCTTGCAGGCTTATGCATTCTCACAGATAATATCTAATAAGGCAGTAACTGGGAGAATATTACAATTTCCTTCCATTGGGCCTGGCTAAAGGGTCTCTTAATTCATTATTATTTATTATACAGGATTTATATAGCGCCAATAGTTTTCTCAGCACTTTACAATATATTATTATTATTATTATACAGGATTTATATAGGCCAAACCGTTTGCTCAGCCTTTACAATATAACGAGAGACAATACAGCAACAATACAGTTCAATACAAGAGGGATAGGAGGGCTCTGCTCCTTGGAGCTTACAATCTAGGAGGGAGGGGCTAGTGGTACAAAAGGCAGTAACTGTGGGGGATGGACTGGCAGGAAGAATAGAATATCCATTATTAGCTGAGGGCAGGATAGGCTTCCCTGAAGAGATAGGTTTTCAGAGATCGCCTAAAAGTGAGCAGAGTAGACGATAGTCTGATCAATTGGGGTAGAGAGTTCCAGAGGATGGGGGAAGTTCTGGAAAAGTCCTGGAGACGAGCATGGGAGGAGGAGACGAGGGAGCTAGAGAGCAGGAGGTCGTGTGAGGAGCGGAGAGTACGGTTTGGGTGATATTTGGAGACAAGATTGGTGATGTAATTTGGGGCAGAGTTATAAATGGCTTTATATGTTATTGTTAATGTTTTGAATTTTATCCGTTGGGCAATGGGAAGCCAGTGGAGGGATTGTCAGAGAGGGGTGGCTGATACAGTACAGTTAGTCTCCAATATAATGGGAGACAATACAGCAACAATACAGTTCAATACAAGAGGGTTATGAGGGCCCTGCCCCTTGGAGCGTACAATCTAAGACATCAAAAACTTCACATCGCCACGTCCCTGTATCCCCAGTGCCCAGTAATCACCGGTTTTCTCATCATTTTTATACTCTATCTTTTCTTCCTCTCTACCTTCCAGGTGTCCAGTTTAAAGCACAGAAAGTCAGTGCAGAGGATATAATAAGCTGCCTCTAGGGTATTTGATCATGGTGCTAGGCTAGGAAAAAGCCTGGCTATATAAAGTCATTAGATTTTGCCTTGCACCCAGAAGAAGATTGTATGTACAGAACAAATGACAGATCACATGAATTCTCCTGCCTTCTACTCCGGTATTATGGGAAACTATGATCAATTGCAGAATAAAATGTTATAATAAGGAACCTGTTTACATATTTTACAGTAATCCAAATGTTCTGTTTCTTTTCACAAGAGGCAAGGATATCCGGATGGTGATTGAACAGAAAATATAATTTTCTAATCTTATTTTTGGATGTGTTTTTTTTTCCAACCTAACTATGAAACTATGTAATACTTTTAATTAAGATCCAACTCTAGGAAACTTGAACACGATCTCTTGTAGTGGGGCTGCACCCACACTCCAGGGGTTGATTGTTCATTTAGTCTAGGGTAGAGTAAAAAACCTATGGCTAGGCTCCCCCAGACCTAAACAAATAATTACAACTAGACATGTGCGGTTCATTTCAACCTGATTTGAAATTCAGGAAAAATTTTCATTATTCAGAAAATTCAGATGTATCCGAATTTCTGGATTACAATAGTAACAAATTTAAATGAATCCGAAATAATGAAACAAAATCTCATCTGAAATCCAAACTGAAATCAAATTCAAAATATAGACGCATTGCTGATTTCCTTCAAATACTTTGGGGTTGATTTACTAAACCTTGGGAGTGCAAAATCTGATGTAGCTCTGCGTAGAAACCAATCAGCTTCCAGGTTTTATTGCCAAAAGCTTAATTGAAGAAGCTGAAGTTAGAAGCTGATTGGCTGCCATGCACAGCTGCACCTGATTTTGCACTCTCCAGTTTTAGTAAATCAATCCCTATTTATATTAGTGTTAGCAGATAGTTATCTTCTGAAATTACGATAAAAGGATAGAATAGAGTAGAATAGAACATAAAGAAATAGAATAGAAAGAATTGAATAGAATAGAAAAAAGAATAGAAAAGAAAAAAAATTTAATATATTTTAATAGAATAGAATAGTATAGAATAGAAAAGAAAAGAATAGAGTCAAACAGAAAAGAAAATAGAAATACATAGAATAAAATAGAATAAAAAAATAAAGGAATAGAATAGAGTAGAAAAGAATAGAATAGAAAAAAATAGAATAGAAAATAATAAAATAGAAGATAAAAGAATACAATAGACAAGAATATAGTAAAATAGAGCAGAATAGAATAGAAAATAAAAGAATAGAATAGAAAAAAAAAAATAGAATGTAATAGAAAGAATATAACCCTCTTCCAAAAAGTGAATTTCTAAAAGCATAGAAAGAATAGAGTAAAACAAAACAGAAAGATTTCCCCTCTATTCCTGTTCTGGTGTCATCCCGCAATTTGGGATTTTCTTTTATTTTCACTTTCAGCCCTGTTTCACACTAATGCGGTGCGGAATTCGGTGCATGCACTACTTTTGTTGCAATTTGCATAGAAATCTGTGTCAGATGTCTTTCAAATCGCAATGAAAATGGCAGGTCACCTGATTTTTAAATCGTGTGACTTCACTGTAAGTCGCACGATTTCAAAATCGGCTTTGATGTGACGGGGGGGTGTAAAGTCCGAAGGGCAATAAACTGGCCCTTTGTTTAGAAAGTTTGGAGACCTCTGGTCTAGGAGGACAATATTTTTTAAATAAAACTAAGATCGTGAACATGGGGGTTGACCTCATGTCCAATATTACCTTAGGCAGTTTTTTTCTTCCACCAAAAGAGTTATTGATGCTTGGAGTGGACTACCAGCAGCATGTCTCTTTACGGTAAACATGTCTTGAGAAAAACCGGTTGCTATTTTTGATCTCCTTCTGAGAAATGCTAGTTGCCTGGCTATTTTGTTGATCCTGTGGCTTCAGCACTTTGAGTCACTGACAAGAACAGAAGAAAGTAAGGACTTGTTCATACAGACAGACATTTGACAGACAGTGAAGAGGCATTGCTAACCCGCCACATGCATTGCACACAGTTGCAGGGTGGTTGCGATGCAGCCCTATTCACTTGAATGGGTCTTAGTACCATCTGCTAAATGCAAAATACTGTTTAATTTTTGGCACGGTATGGGAACAACTCTGAATTTCTGTGTTTAGTTGGCAAAACTGCCTGCTTTTTACCCCCCCCCCCCCCTGCTGCTGTGTGAACAAGCCTTAAGAGAAAAGTCACAACTTCATATGGCTATGCCTGTACCAGATCAATAACTCAGAAAGCATTCAGATCAGAGGATCAGCATGACAACTAGGCATCTGTCATTTTTAGAAGATCAATTATACCAACCTACATGTTCTTCTCATCACAGATTTCCCTTAAAGCTGAGAGATTGAAATAGTGGGGAGATCAGATTACACAATCTGCATTCGGGAATACAGGAACCTCCCACTACCTCTCTGGGGGCAGTGGAGGTTCCTAAAGTGTTATCTGGGGGCACCCAGATAGCACTTTATAAATGCTTCACTAAAGCACCATAAATTCTCTAGGCACAGATACAGGTTGGTTACAGCACACTGCCATAGAAATTATTAAAGGAGGATAACAAGTGACACTGCATAATTTTCAACACAACATAATGCTACCATACCTGTGTGTACAGCACTGTATGTCTATTGTAATATTCAGGGCAGGCATTGAAGGGCAGTTAAAGTGTTACTAAACCCACAACAGTAAAATCAGTCTGTATATGCAGTAAAGCATTCTTGTTATACTCACTGTGGAACATAAGAGGTTTTGTGTACAAAGGCTGTTTGATCCTGTCTTTTCTGATCCTCCTCTTCTACTGTCCCCAATCTATCTGCTCATAGTACAGAGCTCTAGGAGTCACTCTGCATATGCTCAGTTTAGAGTGTATGGCTGGAAAGGTTTTTTTATTCTTTGAGAGGGTGTACAGTGGGGATCGAAAGTTTGGGCACCCCAGCTAAATATTTGTATTAATGTGCATAAAGAAGCCAAGGAAAGATGGAAAAATCTCCAAAAGGCATCAAATTACAGATTAGACATTCTTATAATATGTCAACAAAAGTTAGATTTTATTTCCATCATTTACACTTTCAAAATAACAGAAAACAAAAAAATGGCGTCTGCAAAAGTTTGGGCACCCTGCAGAGTTAATATCTTGTACTGCCCCCTTTGGCAAGTATCACAGCTTGTAAACGCTTTTTGTAGCCAGCCAAGAGTCTTTCAATTCTTGTTTGAGGTATCTTTGCCCATTCTTCCTTACAAAAGTCTTCCAGTTCTTTGAGATTTCTGGGCTGTCTGTCACGCACTGCTCTTTTAAGGTCTATCCATAGATTTTCAATTATGTTGAGGTCAGGAGTTTGTGAAGGCCATGGCAAAACCTTCAGTTTACACCTCTTGATGTAATCCCCCATGGATTTTGAGGTGTGTTTAGGACCAATATCCATTTGTAGAAGCCATCCTCTCTTTAACTTCAGCTTTTTCACAGATGGCATCAAGTTACCATCCAAAATTTGCTGAAATTTTATTGAATCCATTTTTCCTTCTACTTGTGAGATGTTCCCTGTGCCACTGGCTGCAACACAACCCCAAAGCATGATTGATCCAACCCCATGCTTAACAGTTGGACAGAGGTTCTTTTCATTAAATTCTGTGCCCCTTCTTCTCCAAACGTACCTTTGCTCATTCCGGCCAAAAAGTTCAATTTTAACCTCATCGGTCCACAGAACTTGTTTCCAAAATGCATCAGGCTTGTCTGTATGTTCATTTGCAAAGTTCAAACGATGATT